TTGCGCCTGGCTTGCATGCAAAGTTTGTATAAGTTTCCCCCAATTTTCGGTTTGTTCTCTTTCGGTGAGTATATTAAAAATACTTTTTTCTATATAAATTCAGTGGTAGAAAGAGGTGCAGGGGCTACCGAAAGCTGTAATTTATTTTAATGCCGGGTATTTATCATGATACACATACGTTTCTCTGGCTGAATACAAAAAAAATGCTATTTCTATGTGGATATTTTTGGTATTTTGTTTTTACATAAATTGTAAATTAAACATTTAAAGTGCCATGAAATTGGCACTAACTGACTAACTGGCCAACTGGCTAACCGGACCCCAAAAACACATGGCCTCCGGGTAATGCCGGGCAATGGTTCATTAAAAATACATAAAATCGAGACACAGTTTATCCCCTGCTCCCCTGGATCAGTTGAAAACTAATATTTATCTAACAAAATTAATATGGTTTGTAAGCCAAATAGAGAAGAGACAGCGAGTGTGTGGGGTGCAAAAACTGTTTGTCTAACCAAAAACAAACGACCGAATGTAGCACAATTTTCGGCCACGCATCCTCTCGACCGGAGGCCAAACGCTTTGGAGCGATAAGCCAAATAAATAACGCAGGACGAGCAGGACGAACGCATGGAGGTCGGAGTGTAGGAATGGCAGGCAGGCAGCATCATGCAACAACGTTGGATGCATTGTTCAATAAATCTATTTGGCCTCTAATCGAAAGCAGATAGGGGCGGGGATTGCACCTGGAAAAGGCAACAAATTGCCATTGGATAGGCACAAGACCGGAAGCAGCAACAACATATTAATCCAAATTAGCATCAAAGTGATTTAATTGCTTGGAATTTCGGCGTTGGCAAACACTTTTCGACTTTTCGGTCCTGGACGAAGGACTCACTTGTAAACAAGCCCACAAGAGGTGCACAACCAGAGGCCCAAACCAGGCTGCATTTTGTCAACATTTGGCCATCGATCAGGCTAAAAACACGGACTCGCATGCACCCATATATTTGCTGCAATTTAAAGTCCTTTGGAGTCTCCTTGAAATTCCTGGGGCAAAAAAATTGGGAAATAGAAGCGCTCAGCCAAAGCCCTTGGCACGATTTATGTGGCTTTTAGTAATATGAGCAAATATATTACGTGACGGATCAGATGAGGACCTGAGCGAAGGAAGGACAACTAATTGAATTGCTGCCGCTGAAAAGGAACAAACTCGAAATTAATAGGCGCACATCAAACACAAAAATTGGGAAAAGGCCCAACGCCCACCAGCTGGCAGCGAAATTAAAGGGAAACCTATAAAGGCAGGACATTAGGACTTGGCCGCAAAGGATAACAAGTGTAGCCAACTGTGTGCGAGCGAGCAGAGCATTCGAAGCTTGAGTAATATTTATTGAGTACGTGATCTCCTGACCAAATCCCAATGTGAGCGAGAGTTTTGAATTTTTTATTGCGCCCCGGGATGCCGGCCTTCACACACACCATCAGAGAAGTGTCCTCCCCATATATACGTATATGTACTTATTCACATATATGGGTATGGGTATGTGTGTCCTGACAGCTGCCAACTTCTGGGCTTCTTTGGTCGCCTTTTTTTGGCATGCAAAAGGCGGACAGCAAAGTGGCTTATTAAAAATTTTGTCAACTTGCGAGTTTGCTCCACCAACTCTTTCAGCTCTTACACTTTTTTATGACTTTTTCGCACTCCCTTGGCCCTATGCATATATATTAGATAGAAACAAACTGCCTTATCTTTGGTTTTCTCGAATCATTAAAGCCCAGCAATGACTTATTTTTAAGAAAATTGTTGAAGAATTTATACCCTACACAGGAAAAATTCCCAAAAGTTTTAGGTGCACAAACGGGCTTAAACATTTTAAGAAGTAAAACGCTTCATACAAATTTATTTTTATTTAGTGCTACTAAAAATGTTTTCACCTAAAATGGTTACTTTTAGAGATATTTTTTCTATGTATACATTTGTCTAATGGTTGTCTTAGTTAAAATATATATATATCAGCTTGAACTTTTATCTTTAACAGAAGAAATCGTTGACATCATTCAAAATGTATTATATGTATAAATATTTCTCCAAACAACATATAAGTGTTTAACAACTTTAACTCAATTATTCTGCGAAACGAGCGTTGCGTTATTAAATATGTTAAGTTCTCCAGGAAGACAACGAACTCCTGGGTGTCACAAAAACAATCCAATTGACTGGGACAACACAACAGCCACATCCCATCCACACGAAAACAAACCACCTCCGCACTTGTTGGTTTTTCACAACCCCAAAAAGTGTGCTACAAAAAATGAAGCGCATAATGAAGCTACTCATAAACGAAGTGTCACTGTGTGCGTGTGCGTGTGGGTGTGTAAAATGTTTACTTGCAACCGGAGTGCAGCCACACCCACACTTGCGCCCACAAAAGGGCCATTGTTTCGCCATCGCACACACATAAAAAACACTTAAAACGCCGTTAAGTTAAAATAATAAAGTTAAGCGGCCGCCGGGCAGCAACAAAATCTAATGTGACAATGGCCACACGGCTGAAACAATAAAAGCAACAATAAAAACAACAACGAAAGTTGCAACAATTGCTGACATATTTCACAATGTGCAACAAAAGACAAGAAGCAGAAGGAGCAGAAGAAGAAGGGTCAGGTGAGGTGACAAAAAACTAAGCCAGCACAAAAGCTAAGGGTACAAACAACCGTAGGAATGAATGGAAAAAAAGACGCCGAATGTTGGGCATATTTTGCATTGTTGCCCACACACACTCACACACACACGCACACGCGGCGAAAGAGAAGAACGAGTAGAGGAGAAAGCCTCTCCTTTGGGCCTCCTTTCGCTGGCCTTTTGTTTCAATTGTCTGTAGTTTAGGTTTTAGGCGTGCGAGCCTCGTTATAGGTAACTGTAACTGGTTACGGCCTATATGTACACCTATCCTTGTATCCCTGTGTGTTGTGTGCTCCAGTGTGTGTGTGTGTGTGTGTGTGTGTGTGTGTGTGTGTGTGTGTGTTTGGTGTCCTTTGCAAACAATAAACGACTGTCAACATATGCGCGAGCCACCCGTGCACGCGTCTCTGGAATGGCGTGCGAATTATTGCCCAGGAAGATATGACATAAAATTTAATGAAATGTTCAGAAAATGCTAAAATCCATGTTCTTGCTCCCCCAAGTGTGTGTTTTCTAAACAAAGGGTGTACAACTAAAGCAAAAATCGAAATCGCGGGCAAAGCACAATTTAAACTTGAGCTCTCCGTGATTTGTTAAAAGTCTAGTAAGTAAAGTAAAAGTTTAAGTAATATTTCCACAAGAGTATTTTATGTTTTCTTTTAAACAATGGTTTGCAAAATCGAAATACGTGTAAGTAGAACTAGTAATTGTGTTTAAAAAATTAAACACATGGGCTATACAATAACAAAAGAAGTGTTTTATCAAACTCAATTAGAGTTTCTATGTCTAACTTTTCTTCTACACACAGAAACACACGGAAGTAACATAACAAATAAGAATTTACTACTTTTTTTAAAGGTCTTCTTAGAATAAGAATATTTCCAACCGAAACACACACACATTGAGATGTTAAGATGTATATTAAATAGGCACAACATCGATAGTAAAACACACGGTTAAAGACAGATCATGCGACATCAATAACATATTAGAATATTTGGCTTTTGTAAGTTGGTAATAGGGATTTTAAGACTTGTAGAAAATTTAATTTTATTTTTGTATTATTCAGAAATACTTTTAACTTCATGTAAATGCGGAAGAAACATTAAGTTTAACTTAGATTTTAACATTTATCTAAGTTAAATGACTTAGGCACTTCAAAATGGAATCATATAAAAAGTATCTAATAATTTTAAGCACTTATTAGAATTTATTAATTTTAAAGCAAATTAATTTAAAGCAATCTTTGTTTTCATTCAATTTTACCAACTTAAATAGCCAATGTTATAGACTTGGTCCAACCTGATTTTTGTGATCCCTCACTATTGAAATTGACCTGCCACGCCCCCTTTCGGGGGGCCTCGAGAGGGCATACTTACTGACACTGAGCGGCATGAGGGCGCTTTGCAAATGGCTGAAGATCTGCCGATGGTGGTGGTGGTGACCCAAACTCGCACCGCTGAAGTACAGGTGGTTCTGGTGCAGCGACAACTGCTGGTGGTGATGGTGGTGATGATGGTGGTGGTGCTGTTGCTGCTGCTGAAGTTGCTGCTGCTGCTGCTGCAGGTGGTGATGTTGCTGATGGGTCATCAGTTGTTGCTGTTGGTGCTGCTGATGTTGCTGCTGATGTTGCTGATGGCTTTGCTGGGCAAGATGTTGCTGCTGGTGGAGCTGCTGCTGTTGCTGCTGCTGCTGCTGCTGTGCGTAACCAGCATGTTGCTGCGATGCGGCTGCCGTTGCAGATGCCGTCGGGAGTGCAACAACTGCTGCTGCTGCCGCCGCTGCAGCGGTTGCTGTGGCCGCTGCCGCCGCCGCCGTTGCAGTGGCCGTTGCTGTTGCCGTGGCTAGAATGTGATGGGTGGTTGAGGATCGATGCTGGCTCTGGACCGTATTGAGGCTGTGAATGGAGGCGTGCACCGCCGACTGATAGATAATACCGTTGTTCGACATCGCCGTCATCGACTGGTGGTGGGCGTAGGCGGCCATCGTGGGCGTCACTCCGCCCATTGTGGGTTGCACCGCCGCCGTGGCGGCCACCGGAGCCAAGGGCAGCGATCTGTATCCCGCCATGGCTCGAACTGTTCACCGATCACCGATCACTGATCACCGATCACTGATCACTCTATAAACACTTTATACCCCGATATTGTTTGTTTTTAGTCCGCCTTGAGCGTCTGATCGCTTGGGGATTCGTGAGTTGACTAAATGGACCGACCGGAGCGAATTATATTTCCTACAATTTTCTGTTCGTTAAATTTGTAAGTTGTATTATATTTTTTTCTCAGCCATAAATTAGTGGTGGGGGGGGAGGGTAGATTTTAGGATTAGTTCGGGTTGATAATGTCACTCCGTGATGTTGATAAGGTCTGCCGGCTATCTTGACATCTCCTTTCCTTCTGTTCATCTCGAGTCGTGTGTCAACACAAATCTCGAATGCGAGCGGCACTGAAATTTCACAAATTTCCTGGACAACCCAACTAACTATGCAAATGGTTAAATATTTATATATGTAACCTTAAGCTTTAACCATTACAATTGTGTGCATTTACCCCTCACGAAAATCTAAACCTTGAACCAGGGTTCAAACTCAAACGAGTTGCCCAAGTCGCTGGTGAGTTTGGCAAGTTCCAAAACAGAAAATATATACATATTTAACCGACTTATCAACTGACAGCTGCCAACTGAAAACTAGAAAAAGATAAGCTCTATTCTCGTGTCCAAAAATTTCGTGAATCACACAAAAACAATTCTTATCTTACTCTTCCTTAAATTATTTATGCCGTACAAATAGATCTGTTTACACTAAAACACCAATTAACAACATCAATCAACCAATAAATCACTACATAAATGAACATATATTGTACACACATAAAACACATATGGGTGATATATATATGGAGTCCAGAGATCGTTGCAATCTTGAGTACACCAATTTAAATTGACCACACAACATCGACAGAAACAACAACAACAACAAGAACGGAAAGCAAACAACAAACAGTGTCGAAGGGGCTTGAGTAAAGTGTAAACAAATTACATAAACAAATTGAGGCAAATTGGAAGATTCCGCGAGCGAAGTACTCCCGATTAAATCATGTTTGTGGAAACCTTAATGGCCAGATTAACCAGTCTGTGGACATTTAATGTCGTTGCACGGCCAAATACTGGATGAGCCGTCTTCACGTAAGCATGGCGCCGATATACGTAGTAGAACGGTACGTAACGGAGCCAGTTTTTCCGCAGGGCCAAGAGAAAGCCACGTCCGACACGCTTGGCCAAGGTCTGAAAACTGAACTGAAAACTGAACTGAAAACTGAAAGCGGAACGTGGAAAGCTGAAAGCTGGCGGAAGGCAAGGACATTCGGCTGGCCGACAGGACACGAGCTGTGCTGTTCGGGCCGAGTTATTGCATTTGGGCCCGGATTCGTCGGTTGCCAGCAGCTTTAAGCCTAAGCAAGAGCGAGCGAGAGGGCCAGCGAGATGATGGACATAGTAGGGGGTGGGGTTCAGGGGGTAAGGTCTTCTGAAACAGTGAATATGTGGGAGGCAAGTTGCATTTCTCCAGGCTTAAAAAAATGTATTCCTAGCTTTTTCAATAAAAACTATCTATAATACTTTAAAGAATAGTTAACCAAATATTATGTCCACAATAACTTCAATTCTTATGCTGTTAATAAACTAGCATTAGCCATAAACAATTGGCATTAGCCTAATTTCCCTGGAATGCCAAAAGAACTGTGTGGGTTGGTCCACAAAAGCACCTACACACTTCTATTGCACAACAAAATTTAGGGGTTGTTCCCCGACCGTTAGAGACCTGCGCAATAGATTAACCCCCTACCGCCGACAATCGACCACCTAAAACCGGAGAGGCTCGTCGTCGGCTCCATTTGGTCCTACCCCAAAACAAAAAAACCCAGCGAAACCAAAACAATAACAAAATCCAGGAAGCACAAAAGAACACAAATAAAAAACTAGAAACGATGGAGGGAAAGGTGAGGAATTTGCACGTGCCTGGAAAACCTTTGCACACCTTCCGGTGGGCAGCCAACTTGGCGCTGGAATTTTTAATCAAACCCGAAGCGCAACTATGCAACATGGACACGGACACACCTGCAACACACGCCACAATCCATGGCCTTTATTTACTATATATTTCATAATAATAAATATATATTTTAGACAGAAATTAATATTAGGCAAATATTTGGGTTATTGTTGGAAATATTCTATGGTGGAATTCGGATATTACTTCACTTCAAATTGAAAGCCACTCTGAAATTGGGTCAACTGAAAAATGTCAGGCAAATATTTTTGACTTTACATATAAAAAAATAATTCTTTGTGTTGTGCCTTGCAATGATACACTAAATGAAAGTTATCGAAATGTGGTTTCGGTAAACAGAGCTATTAAAATTTTCAGCCGCAGATATATGATACGACTTAAATGGAATATTTGGAAACTCCTTTTTTATTTTTAGAAATTAATGGATTACTCTACAAGCAATTTAACAGTCTGATTATAAGGTTCATTTAAGTGAATCCGCCGACAATCTGCCTTTATAACAATGTCATATACATAATCGCCTCTGGATTGCCATGCCAGTTCAGTCCAGTTTCGACACCCAGGAGTCATGTTAGCAGTGCTGATCTTTGGCCTAGTCTTGCTCTCGTCTTTGCCTGTGGAGTCCAAGTTCAAGAGTCTCCACTGTGCAAACTACGATAAATCTTTGGGCGAAATTTTACTTTGCAGAATCAAGGCAATCAACCGCTATAGGAATTCGATAAGTATTCAGTTTAGACAGAAGAAGACCGTCAATAATGTGCAGGTAAGTTGAGCATCTCCAACTGCCTGTTTTCTATCTTTGAAATCTTTAATCTTAAGATGCGTTTGGAGCTTTTTAAACGAGCCAATGGCTGGCGTCCTTTTCTCTACAATATTTCATTTAACCTGTGCGATTTTCTAGCCAAAAGAAACAATATGATCGTAGGCCTTGGCTACGAATATATCAAGCCTTACATACCAATGACGAATTACACCTGTCCCTTTAAGGTAAATATATCTCAATTCGCACAAAATATGTTAAGCTAGCTTTTATATATATTTCAGAAAAATCATTTAATAAAATGCACGGACCTTGAGTTTGATATTGAAAAGTTTCGAGTTCGTTTTCCTATCGAAACGGGAGAGTACGCCCTGCAGTTGAGTTTTATCGTCCAAAGGAAAGTCACTTTGACCCTTAATGGATCTGCGGAATACTACAATTACCGAGAGCACTAGTTCCTATGGAGTTTCTATACGAAAATGATGTTTCGTAGAAAAAGCACTAGTATATATATGTAATTTCTCTGGGCAAGAAGGATATTTAATATAATTTAATAAAATGTTTGGTAAAGTTCGAACTCAAAAATTGCTTTTTAACAACTGTTAAACAACCTTATATAAAATTTAAGCTTAGTAATATTATACATTTAAGTAAATCAAATTTTTATTGTCTTTTAAATAACTATGTTGCAGTGCTGTTTTACTATTATTTGTTATTTAATTTATTTAATTAAAAGGAAAAACTCCTGTACTTTTTTTTTGTTGTATGTACAACTATCTTGGCTTTTGAGTTGTTTGATAAGCAGACCTGATCTTGAATGTCAAAATCCTTAAGTCATTACATTATAATAATATAGTACTAGATACAAATTGAAAAACACTCTTTTTGGATCAGTGAGCGCACTTACCGAGAGCCTGAATATAAAAAAATAGTTAATAATTAAATTCGTATCAACTGACTTTTCCAACCATAAAAAAATATAGTAATTAATAAATTATTTTCCATTGATTTACAATTTTTGTAAACTTATGAGTCATTGTTTTTAAAAGCAGGTAAATAGTTTAGGGCCACAAGCTTTTTCCAATGTTGCTTTTAACTAAATCAGTTATTTAGTAACCGTCATTAAACAATGTTGGCTTTAATAATCACTCTCCTCGTTTTACATTCCATGGAAGTGGAGGCCAAGTGGAAGACCCTTTATTGCAGTGCACCCAACGACGAGTTTGGTGAAATTTTGCTATGCAAACTAAAGATCATCGATCGGTACAGAAACTCTGTCAATATCAACTACAGGGTTAAGAAAGAAATCAGTCAAGTAACAGTGAGTTATAAGCCGACCAAATTTTACTATTACATTACATTAATTAATCAATTCTGTCAGGCTCGCTTAGAATTTTTTAAAAGAGCAAATGGTTGGAGGCCTTTCCTGTACAACATTTCTACGGACGGGTGCAGCTTTCTCAAAAATCGCAGCAATCTTATAATTAATATTTTTTATACGTACGTAAAGCCGTATATCGCCCAAAATTTGACGTGTCCCATAAGGGTGAGTTTTACCTAAAAATTTACCACAATTATTAACTATGAAAATTACAGGCAAACGAAGTCTTGAAACTGGAAAATTTTGAATTTGATATAAATTAATTTCGAAACCGTTTTCCCATCGAAACGGGAGAGTATGCTGTGCATACGAGTTTGTATAGCCGCAAGAAACTATTTCTGCTTATGAAAACTACGTTGGAGTACTCCAACTATAGAGAAAACTAAGGAATGTCAAAATCTGGAATAAAAAAACAGATGTAGTACGCTGTAAGCTTTCGCCCTCTAGCAGAACAAAAATATATCACAATATGCTGAAAAATTAGTTCCGTATCCAAAAGTAATGAATCCAATTTTTCAACTGTAACAAAATTCATGTTCATTCATATTAAATTTATTATCAAAATCAGATGGACTATTAGCGTGAGCATTTATTGATAAATCAATCCATTGATTTGATTGATTGACTATTTTTGACAGTTAAAACTACTGTGTACCATAGAGAAAATTAAAGAATCCTATGAATATAATATTATAAAGTCTACCAAGTATGAGATGCTGCTCTGTTATAACAAGTCAATCGAAATGTGTACTTTAATAATCTTTTTTTACCTATCCTATAAGGACCAAAACATTTTTCATTATGTTCAACTTTAAAAGTAAAAGATCCAGTGAGAAAGATTAAAAAAAGGTGTTAATTTATACATTTTTGGAAGAAGTAACAAGAAACATTGTTAATTACACTTTTAAATTGAATAAACTCAATAAAATCGATCTCTTTGACGCTTGCTCTGACTCACTTTTGAGATCGGTGCGGAGGAAATTATCAAACACAATAATCATTGAATTGGAAAATTTGCAATACAGGTCACCCTTGACGTCACTGCACTGAAATTAAACAGCAGCTTCGCCTGAACGAGCAGTCGAAAATGAAAAAAAAAACAAATTCGGGAACATATTGTGTGATTAGAGTTCTAAAATGAAATGCGGCACAAGTGGCCAAAGCAAATCAGGGCATGGCAAACACGGTCTAAAAGTGGGTAAAAGACCAAAGAAAACAAATACCAGGACTTTGACACAATAATCAAACGAGGTGTCCTTTGTGTGTGTCTGACTGAAATGGGCAAAAAACAAGCAAAAAACAAAAGCAAGGGCGGACAGTGGGCGTGGCAGCGTCAAATTAGGCCCAGTGTTATCTAATTAGCCACCTACAGGATGGCACCTTACTCGCTCCCACCTATTCGCCCTCTCTCTCTCTCTCTCCTTCTAGCCCTGTGTGAAGTGGTGCCAGGCGCCGGCCATCATATTTTGCAATTTAACTCACACGAAAAGATTGTTGTCGGCCCTTTTCTATCTTTTTTAGCCAATTTTTATACCCTTGCAGAGGGTATTATAATTTCAGTCAGAAGTTTGCAACGCAGTGAAGGAGACATCTCCGACCCTATAAAGTATATATATTCTTGATCAGCATCACTAGGCGAGTCGATCTAGCCATGTCCGTCTGTCCGTCCGTCTGTCCGTCTGTCCGTCTGTCCGTCCGTTTATATGCAAACTAGTCTCTCAGTTTTAAAGCTATCTGCATGAAACTTTCCCAAAAGTTGTCTTTCTATTGCAGGTAGTATATAAGTCGGAACGAGCCGGATCGGACGACTATAGCATATAGCTCCCATATGAACAATCGGAAAAATAATTGAAAAAAATTATAACTTTGCTGTTTTTTAATTTTTTGTTTAGTTCTTCGACATATAGTAATGGTAAAATATTTTCGATTTACGATTTAAATTTCATCAAAATCGGACGACTATAGCATATAGCTCCCATAGGAACAATCGGAAAAATAAATGAAAAAAATTATAACTTTTCTGTTTTTTAATGTTTTGCTTAGTTCTTCGACATTTAGTAATGGTTAAATATTTTCGATTTACGGTTTAAATTTCATCAAAGTCGGACGACAATAGCATATAGCTCCCATAGGAACAATCGGAAAAATAAATGAAAAAAATTATAACTTTTCTGTTTTTTAATTTTTTGTTTAGTTCTTCGACATATGGCAATGTTTAATTATTTCAGAATTATGGTTTAAATTTTATCAAAATCGGACGTCTATATCATATAGCTCCCATAGAACTAATAAAAATATATAAAATAACTATCTAATAATTGAGCTGCAAATCATCATAGCTTCACTGTTTTTCAGTATATACTGAAGTAAATCATAATTTAAATGTTTTCAAAAGTATTTAATTCATGCAATAGCTGCAAGGGTATATGAACTTCGGCTTGCCGAAGTTTGCTTTCTTTCTTGTTTTCACTCACTTCTGGCACTCACCATTTTTTATTGTTTTTTTTTCTTTGGACGCGCTCAAGTTTCATAACAACGGAAATGCAAAAGTTTTGTGCAAAACAAAGCGCCAACTTTTTTATTTCTCTTGGCAATTATGTGCTCAAGGCAAGAGACAGAGGAACGGACTCAAATAATGATAATGAAGCACACAAGGCTCGGCCAAAAGGATTTTTGAAGAAAAATGCACAAAAAGTGGAAAACGAATCGTAACGCTTTTTCTGATTTTTTTTTTTTTTTTGTGACGGAACTTGCATGCAAAAGTATCTCTTGGATCCACATGTGTGTGGGGGTAATTTGTTTAATTTGCTTGCCTTTTGGGCAAAAAAAAAGAGTGATAGAAGACCTCACCGAAAAGCAAATTTCGTGGCTTATTTCTGTTTTCTTTTTTTCCAGAAGGTTGGCCGCCTTTTAGCTAATGGCCATGGCGAATATGATAGGATAACAGGAAAAACAACAACAACAACAACAACGGTTACCGAAAAACTAAAGCCAAACTAAATTAAAATATTTTAAATTCAGAGCTGGCAAAAGTTTTATCAATAAAATGCAAGCGGGCAAAGTCGTCTGTTTGCTGATTTTTTGTTTTTTTTTTGGCCCCTTTGCTTTAGCATTTGTTTAACTGCAAATCAGATAGAGATCTTCCAAATGTCTGCATTCAATACACATATGCACACTTGGTGTGGCGGTCCGCAATTGAAACATCAGCAATACTTGAGCTGTGCAATATGTCGAGAACTCAACAGCTCAACAGCTCAACACCCCCACAGAACGAGATGTTGCCTTTGGCCATAACTCGAATCGGGCTTAAAAATCACTTAGACACTTCTCGCATCGCTTTTGGCCTGTCAGCAGAATTGGCGGCCAAGACGACACTCATGTATCGAGTGCAATAATCATCACCGGCTTCCCCTCGAATTTCTCGAATTCTCGAATTCTCGAATTTTTCTGTGGACCTCAGCACATTGCCCGTTTCCCAGGGCGTTGCTCGCCCATCGTTTTCGAGTTGTCAACTTGGCTAATCTGCACTTGGATCTCGAAGGAATTGCCTGAACATTTATTAAGCTCTGCCAAAATGCGTGGGCAGGGTCATGGAAAAGTTGAAAAGGCTAAAATTATAGCTAATTGGAGGGGTGAGTGGTAGAAAATACAATTTCAAGGTCTGTAGGGATGACGATAAAGAGTCTAGGTCTTAAAAAAAGAATTTCAAGGTACTTAAATATATTTTCCAAGACATATATGTTTAATATAAACAAATGGGAACCATGGTTTTCTATATATATAAACATTTAGTAGTAAATAAATAACCAAGAAAGATTTTTTATAAAAGCCTAACACTGTTTTAAATTCATCATATGTTATGATTTTGTTTTATAAAAAGATTTGTGCTAAGAAACTTAAAGAATTTTCAAAAACAACCAAATAATTCCTTAAGCTCAGTTGCAACTTTCAATTGGCTCCAATTGGGATCATTGAAAGTCTTGAGCACTTTACGCCCAAACGAATTGATTTGTTTTCAATTTTTTTGTGTTCTTTAGGAAATCATTGAGCCGCTTGCCACTTGCCGAGGCACGGGAAAACTTTCTGATAACTCGTAACTTGTTACTCAGCACACACAGCGCTAATGAAGACGGCACACATACAAACGCCCCGCGTTGTATTCTGTTTATTTTGCCCGGGCCAAGAGCAAAACACCGGACACCAGGGAGTAGCAGACTGATTCGGGTGTGAAAATCAATGGCATTCACAGCTGAGTGCAGCTGAAACCCCGAGGGGGCGGTCAAGACGCTGCTCGATTTAATTGAATAATTGTTAGGCAAGCCACGTTCGCCAAAATTCCTGGCAAATCAGCGAAAATTTCGAAACTAAACAGAAATAGAAGGAAAAGCCCCCAAAACAGGCAGCATAGAGAGCAGATTCAAAGGCTGGCGAATCTTCCGCCCAGGAGACTGCGTCAGGCTTTGTTTTGCCGGTCCCGATGCAAATGCACCTGCAGCAGCAACACCTGCTGAAAACCCCGCTAGCAATTTATGCGCCGCATTTGAAATTCGGTGATACCAAATCCTCGAGACTTACCGTTCCCAAGTGGCACATTTGTTTGCGTTGTTGTCGATTGTTGCTGCTGCTGCTGCTGCTGCTGCTCGGTTGTCACCGCGTTGCACAATTTATTTGATGTTGTCGTTGTCGCTGGAGCTGCTGCTGCTGTTGCTGTTGTTGCCGTTGTGGTTGTCGTTGCCTCTAGCTTGCTGCCTCCGTTAATGGCCAAAGTGGTGGCACTTTTTCCCAGCCTCAGTATGGTGGTGGCCGTCGATGATGTGGCCGATATTGCTCCACCGTTGGTGGCTGTTGTTGCTGCCGCCGCCTTGAGCTTGTGCAGCGCTCCTGCCACGCCCTTGGCCGCCTTCGAGGTGCGTGTCACACTTAGAATACTATTGCCATTTGGCGGCGAAGTGGCCATGGAAGTGTTGCTTGCAACGGACGTGGCCGAGGAGTTGCGTATGACCAGTATGGATTGGGACTTCTCCAGACGCTTCAGCGTTTGCAAAACAAAGGGCGACTTGGTGTCGCAGTTGCTCTCAGAGCTGAGGCTGCGAGAGGCCTGTAAAATGTAGTTTATAGAGTCAGTAATATACACAATCAATAGATTAATATGCTCTTACATGTTTTAGCATAAAGGGCCGCTCCACCAGCTTGGTTTGCGTGGCATTCGCCAGCTTGGAACGCTCCTGGGCCTTTAAAACGCTCTCCAACTGACTGGCATTGATGGGCGTTTGCAGAAGGATCGTGTTGCTGCTGGCCTCCTTGTTGTTGCCGCTGGCCACAATGGAAATGGTGGAGTTGCTGCTGCTACTGTTGCTGCTGCTGCTGGCACTCGAGCTCTGTACAATGGTTTTTCTGGCCACCGTTGTGGCTGTGGGCAGTTGATTGAGCGTGATGGCTGTGGACGAGTGGCTCTTCTCCTGCTGCTGCTGCTGCTGCTGCTGCTGCTGTTCATTGAGCAGG